CGGCAGACCCCTGGGACTCTGGCTGAGCTGGTGCTGAAGCCACGGTGGCTGACGCTTTGGCTCCTCACGGTGGATTTGCTAGACATGATTCCTGAAGAGGGGAAGGCTGAAGAAAGCGTGAGAGGCTGGAGGGTAGAGCTGAGAGGAGCAGATCTGTGAGATGAGCCTCCCGGCAGCAGTTTATATATGGTGAAAATGGGCTGGGCTCCGTCCTGGAAGGTGAGCTTGCAGATTGGGAAGGGCTGATCTTTACAAATAGTGAGATCACTCCCAGCCTCTTAAAGGTATGAAATATGAAGATTGCTTCTTTGGCTTCCTTTAGTCATGGAGAAATTCTCCTGCCTTCCAGCCTTGATGATCCCAACACAATAAGGCTGCGTATGAATTCACTGAAGTCAGGAATTAGTCATGTTCTCAAACAAAGGAGACAAGGAGCTGATCTGCGATAATTGTCCCTTCCTTCTGCTTACTCAGACACTCCTCTGTGTGCCCCCTTCCCACACAGGTTTTCTCCTCTACTAGCAACACCCTTCCCATCAGGTTGCGACTGTCTGAGTTCTTATAGGCATTTGCCCAGAGGCCTGAGCAAGAAGTGGCCTGCAGTGTTTTTTCACCATGTTTGTACCTGTCCCTCTGAAGCTTCTGGCTGTTCCTCCTGATGGCCTGGGCATGGAAATGGTGGCTATACTGGGGACATAACTCCCTTTGAAAGACAAAGGAACTGGAGAGTTGAGTTTTACACTGCCAGATGAGCATTTTGTCTCTGTCCTGTGTGATAAGCTGCCCAACTGGCAGTTTCCTGAAAGGACAGGAGACATCACCAGGGGCCACTCTGCCCAGAGGCCTGACCTCTGCACCTGTCTCCCCAGTGCTTGGTCTTCCACCGATCTGATTATTATGCAAAATTTTCTCTCCAACTGGAATCCATAGACACCTTTTCTGTCTTGTTTCGAAATGTTCACTTAGAGCTTAACTTAAGGAATTGAAAGTGAGTAAGGACAAAAATCATTGAGGAATCACTGAATTTTGATTCCAACAGACTTTGACATTTCTTAGGAATCAAGAAGCAGACTCCTTAATGGGGTGTGTACAGAAAGTTGAGGGGCGTATAGAAACCGTGAATCATACAAATGTGTCCTTACATGTGTGATGATGTCATAAGTAAATTCAAAATTTATATTTCTAATCTCAGCACTTGCAATCTGAACTGGCTACACACCTCAGAGGGAAAGAAGGCTGTGAAATGAGTGTGGTATTTGGTCTGGAGAGGAATGAGGTCCACAGAGTAAGCACTGAGCACAAGGAGTGTTGAGAGCAATTGCGGGCATTCTGTGAGAAACACAGGGTGAAATGGCAACCAGCAGAGAAAAGAGAAACTCGCACATTGAGATGACCTGAGTAAATCTCCTGGTGCTATCTTATAAATGTCCCATCTCCCCAGTGTTTTGGGGTGCACAATATCAAAGGAGGTGCTATCTGAGCATCTTTCAGGAAAGAGATACCTTCTCAGGATGATGGAAATGGCTCCCTTCTCTCCACCCTGGTTGCACAATGGCTGACCAAGAAATGTGCTTCCACCCAGTTCTGGGAAAGATGTGTTCCTTCCCATGGCGCAGTGTTCTGATCTGCTCTACTCTCTTGGGATAGAGGCTTTAGGCTTGGCATAGATGATGCCAGGAAGGATGATGCCAGGAAGGGTTGGCAAGTCAGGTGGCAGTAGCATGCATTTTGCCCAATATTTATGTCTAGAGCTGCTTTCATACTGTAATGGTGTAGTTGGGTTGTTGCCACTGAGAATGTATGGCTTGCAAATACTAAAAGATCTACTTTTTAGTAGTACTAATAGTAGATCTATTTGGCCCTTTAAAGAAACAGTTGTTCAACCCCTGGTTAAGAGCATGCGCTCTAGGGGTGCCTGGGTGGCTCCGTCATTTAAGCGTCTGACT